AAGCAAAAAATTTACTAAGTTTGAAAAGAATTATTGTACTACTGAAAAGGACTGCGCTGCTATCATCTACGCTATCAAGAAAGAAACTGCATTTTATCTGGATGGTCAGCAAGAATTCTTGATTCAAACTGATCATAATCCTTTGGTATGGCTACAATCCAACGCCAAATGTAACTCTAGATTGATGCGCTGGGCACTCTCATTACAACCTTATAATTTTAAGGTCATTCATCGCAAAGGATCTTTGCACAAGAACGTAGATGTTCTGAGTAGAATTAAGTAATGCAACTCTTAGTGTATGTAACCACGTTTAGAATTAATTTTATTATTTAATGTATGCTCAACTAATGTATTTGAACGTTCTCCATTTCTTTCTTTTTAAATGTGGTGTAAAAGTATTGTTTAAAACTTAAAATTTTTTGGCCTGAAATTTAGAAATTTATAAGAGAAATAACCTTTTCTCTTTAAGCAATCGAGCAAGCCGAGCTTACAAACTTTCGAAATTTACAGAATTTTTCCCTTCGGTAAAAGTCTCTCCGTTGGGGGAGAGGTTGTAACAGCTTTAAATAATATTAAAATCTTGTAGATTAAATAATTTAAATAGATGAACATTAAGGTATTTGTGAATGGCAATATTTGAATCCAGACTCAAGTGCCTCGTGCGACTCTCGCACGAAGAATGTAATTTATTTTTAAATGATAGAATATGTTTTCTCTTCTTGTTTGTACGTCGCCATTTTTGAGTGTTAAATAAAAGTTATTGCTGTGTTCCATCATTGGAGTGGCTTCATTTCGCCAAAGAAGTATTACAGTATGTTCCGGTTGGTCTTGCTTCGAAGGTGACTAGGTAATAGATTTTTAATTTTAAATAAATATGTACTGTAAATATTTTATGTGATTATTCTGAATGAAAGAACGTTACGATGATACTGAGAAAAAATTTGCTATCATGTTTTAGTTGAAATTTGTTCAAAGCGATGAAATTTATTCTAGTACAAACGCAGAATAATTGTTTTCCGGTATTTTTTTAATAAAATAGCTTAAAATAAATACTAAAGTTTTTATCATGCCTATTACATATTTAATATAAAATTCTGTTTGAGCCGAATTTAAAGGTATTGTCATTAATCTTTCCCCTTTATGCAATACTTTATAAATTTATCATAAATAAAAGCTTTCCTTCCATATGCAGCAGTTAGTAAAGGCTTCAGCAACTTATGGGCTGCGGGTCACCGATTGACCCATTTCATAATTTCAAGTCACTCAGTTGAGTTCCTAAAATAAAGTATATCATATAAAAGTAAAGTATAAAACATAAATATGTCACGAGCACTTGAAGAATACATAAAAAATAAATCAAAAATAAATAATAAGAGCAACAACTTTGTTTCATTAAAACGTTGCAGTAATGAACATGCATTTTTAGTTTTAAAATATAAAAATTGTAACATAATTTCAAAGAGAAATTTTAAGTTTTGCAACGCCGATCCATTATTTCCTCAATAAAATTTATATTGTTTATTTATCAAGAAAAACTGTTCTAAAATGAAAATACCACTGACCCGAAACGTCTTTATAATACACACTTTTGGGTTGACTTTGACCCTTAGCCAAAAAGGGTTGTCAAAGCCTGGGTTAGGATATTAGTCCGGCATTTTGAAGATCCTGCAGTCGACTCTAGGTAAACGCATCCAACCAATCAATCACCTTTAGGAAAGGATTCATATGGGTGGAATAAAAAATAGCACGTCTTTCATATATTGTTGTAGAGCAATAGTTAGCTCACCGTTCCTCTGTCAATTTCATCGAAGATTTAGCATTTAACTTCGTATGAAAGCACAACACATTGTGTCTTCAAAATGAATGGTGGTGTTTCATGAGGTCCGTGTGAAGTTTGTATTGGTGAAATGGACTAAAATATGCTATCTTCAAATCAATAGCTCAAATCTTGCATGTGATTTTGTAACACGCACAAGCCACGCATTATGTATGAACACAATCGAGATTCTCTTCAGTCATGGCTAGTATATACCTATACAGTCAATGGCTAGTACATTAACTAATGTAAACTTATATGTTAATTTGGACATGTTGCAGATAGAGCAAATGGAAGACGAAGATGTTAAGTTGTAGACCTTAAGCCAATAAGATGGTGTATCTTTGTGAATCACGGAAGAAGAGTTGAATCGTCTCTTTCCGGATAAGGGAATTGTCGGAGAGGTATCTTCAAATAAAAGAGGAGGAGACCATAAAAGGTCCGGAGAGGTCCATAAAAGGTCCTGATCTTACCTCGTTAGATTTCATTTTTTGGGGCTTCGTCAAAAATAAGATTTATTGGGAAAAAAGAATTAACAATCTTAATTGTCACAAATACAAAAGCTTTCAAACAACTGCAAGCGTTATACCAGATGTTCTTGGCAGAATACGGACTGAAACTGGATTTATTAGGTATATTTTAATTAGTGAAGAAATAATGAACTATTTACTTAAGCAGATTTTATAGCATTACTGAGAGAGACTATAGTTTTATTCTACACTGCTATAGTCTACGCTGTAGTCATTTCTTTAAGCATGAACAGTATGTCGAGACACTAATAAAATGTTCATTTAGAATGTAGAAGTGGAAAACCTGTAGAATATATCCAATTTTTATCAAATTTAATGCAAGTGTTTGTACCAGAAATGTACAGAAATTAAAATCTTTCTTATTTTGCATCTGGTATTAATTCATAGATTATTAGTTATCAATAAATGCTTTTGTTCAGTTACTTGTCAGCAATAACTCAAAACTGAAATGGTATACTGCGGGAAGCATCTTTGAAGCTGCCTTCAATCTTATGAACTGTCAGATGAATTAAGAAAGTTATTACAGCTAAAGATTTTAAATATCACACTCTTATAGGCTATTCAAACTTGCTTCCTCTGATATTCCACAGAAAACTTTCTTCTGGATGAAATACACTGCCCTCCAAACGTTAAGGAACAACATGTTTTAGGGGTCTAATTTGAGAATGAAGAAACATATTAAAAGAAATTTACAGAACATGTTCACTAAACAGTTCTTTAATCAATGCGACATAGAATATTTATATAGTTCAACAGAAACATGAGTTACAACAAAACATTACACTCTTCAGAGAAATCCAGTCTTGAAGAAACAGTATATGACAGTTTTTTGAGGTAAAACGGGGGTAGTAAAATTACAAAAATGGGTTCTAATAAGGAATGTGTCCACCCCTAGCGGCAATACATTACACTCTGTTAATTAAGTTGTCGGTTGTTAATTGAAGTTACACGCTGTCAATTAAGTTGTCGGTCAAAGAAATAGGAAGCAATGACCAGACACGGAGTAATCCTTGTTCAAGCACATCTAACGACCTTGCAGGAGGACTTAAAGCAGCAACCTATCTCCCAAAGCAGTCCCAAAGATGCTCTATCGAATTCAGGTCTGTGGATTGAGCTAGCCATTCCATCCGCTCCAAACCGTAACCCTCAAGATATTCTTCAGAAACTCGAGCTCGATGCGGTCACGAATTGTCGTCCATCAGAAGTAATCCAGGACCAACAGCAGCGGCATATGGGCGGATATATTGATCAAGGATCTCGTCTCGATATCTCACATCGGTCAAAGTTCCTCCATGGAACACCAGCAGGTCAATGTGACCACCGAGAGAGATCCCAGCTGAAACCATCATTCCAACAGCTTTGTAACGGTGTCTTTTCAAATTGTGGGATTTTTTTTTCCTCTGGTGCGTTGTTCCCTTCAGAACAGCTGACTACCTGAATCTTTCTCCAATGTGAACCTGGACTCATCTCTGAAGAGAACTGACATTCATTGTTGACTATGACTGGTCCAGGAGACACCTTATCTTGCCCAACATAAATGGGCACCTCCGTGTCCTCGGTAAAGGGAACACAAACAGCTGCTCGTCTTGCAAGCGTCTGTGCACTGTAGTAACTGAGATTCTTGTTCCTGTTGCCACTAAATGATCTGCTATGATAAATGATCTGAGCTGAGGCACAGTAACGTTACTGCTCCTATAAGGTATTTCTTCCGCTTTCTTAGCATGCCTTCGTGATGTATTGGTCAGCACGCTCGATGCATATTCGAGAGGTCCGTGGTTCGAGTCCCAGCGAGGGCATTGCTCATTTTTCAGCTCTCCTGCATTAAATATACCTAATGTCTCTACACTCCTTCGAGACGAAAGAGGTAAATAACAGTCTCTCGCAGGTGTTGTAACTCTAGGCCTGCCTAAAACATGTCTTCCAGACACTGAATTCTCGGCTTCGAACTGATTCCATAGTCGGTAAACCATAGTACGAGAGACATTGAAACGTCTAGCAGCATCTGGTTGTGACGTCCTCATTTCCATCCATTTGATCGCCGCCACCTCAACAGATCGGGCAAACGACTTCTCCTGGATATTAATAGACTTTCCTGGATATTGTCCACGAAACTGCAATAACAACTGAAGACTAACGCTTGTGGGGAAAAAATAAAAAATTACAATTTTTGCATTTTTTTTCTTCAAGTCCTATATAGGAGTTATATATGAATACTTATATAAATATATGAATACTTATATAAATGAATACTTATATAAGTATTCATTTCTATAAAATAAAAGTAGTAGCTATTGTTTTTGCATATTTTTTTAAACTTCGTTACTGTCATGCATATGAGCTGTGAATTTACACGTTACTGACATTTTCGTAATGGTGAGCTTTGAAAACCGTGCTGTTCCTTAACTTGTGGATGGAAGTGTATTACTTGAGGAATTTTAATCATTTTAATCATCATCGCGCTTTAATCACGATGAGGAAATTTTACCATATTATTTCAATTATATTATATATTTAAGGTATTTTAATGCATCCTAAGGCGTGTCTTAAAATTACAATAAAATTTCCAAGAACAGCTTTTTTAATAGCTTGTCAGTTAAGACAATTTGTTGGTACTTACTTTTCTCTTTTAAGACCTTATTTACAATAGAACTAACCTTCTCCTACGAGGTCTAAAGCACTGCCACCTTCCAAAGATGTCTTGATTCGTAGCTCGAATATCTTGAAGGTATTCTGCTTTGGAGGCCTTAAAACGTATACAAGCTATGAGATCCCCGCCGTAGAGAACACTTTGCACATAATGAGTTCCAAGATATTCTTTTCCCATTTTTTTCCAATAAGGTACAGGTTTGGCAGAATGAGGTAAACTTCTAGACACCTGAAAAAAACAAATAAAAACAAAAAAAGAAACAAAAGAGAAAGCAAAAAAGATAAAACAAAAAGAAAATGCGTTTGAAGGATTAGTGACTGTACACTGCGTAAAAGAAAAAAAGGAACAGTTCTATATATCTGCTCTGCTGGCCGATTGACGAAATTCAAATTGCGTTTTTCATATCTCAAAAGCGTGAGTTAGAACATATATATTAGATTTATTTATAGCATTATTCTAAAACTTATTAAGGTATTTTGACACAAAATCGGACTTTATCTGAATTGATATGCCAATGTTTTTTCATATTTCAATTCTTCTCTTTCCATTGCAGACAACCGAAGAAAAAGTCATCTTTCATACTTTCAAATAATTTTAACAAAGTGCCTAAACCACATTTGGCGTTATTATCGCTTAAAACAAATATGCCAAATTTCAAAACGCGACAATATGGAAATTCCTGTATATCATAGAACATTTTGAATAAAAAAACTCTAAATTTTTGCAGATGTGCCTAGAAATACATCTACTTTTAAGATGGTGTTTTTACAGAAGATTTTACAGGTTATAATTCAAAATTTGTTTCGAAAAGTTTACAAAAATTATTTAAAAATACAAATTTTAAAAATAAATCATAAAAAACGGGCGAATTTTATTTGGAATGAATCTGAATTCCGAAATGTGAGAGGAAGAATAAAATAAGTTTAATAAAAAAAAGAAATATTAACAAATATATACCAAACTCAATTAACATTGAGGAGCTAGAATTTTGAAAGCTATTTTTTCAAAAACTACTCTTGCGATTTTTACAAAACTTGGCAGTTTGGCATAATTTGAGTCGTAGAATCGAAAAATTGAAAAATGTTGGCATATCATGTCAGAAAATGTCTGATTTTGTGTCAAAATACCTATATTAGAGCCATGCTATATATAAATTTAATATATATCCTAAGTCGCGCTTTCGAGACATGAAAATGCAATTTGAATTTCGTCAATGGAGCCAGTAGAATGGAAGATATAGAACTGCCCCAATTTCTTTTTTCGTAGTGTGCATTTGATATACCTAATTGTTGTCCGCAGTAAATACATTAAAGTACTCATGATTATCGTGTAGTTATTCCAATTGTTTTAGTCATTGCAGACGTCAGATAGAATCACAAGTTCGTAAATTAATAATAATTTATATAGTTATTTATAATAATAGTTTGATAGAACATAAATGCTTAAAATTATAAAGCTTCCTTCTCGTCCCATTTACACCTATGATAACGTGGATTGGGGGAAAAAAATTAACTCGTTTCACGTGTTTTAAGTAAATCTGCAATAATTAATTGACGTTAAACATTGCGACAGTTATATTTCTTTTTTTTTTTAAATATCAGTAAAAATTTAAAAATAAAAAATTTAAAAAAAGCAAATCTGAAAATTTTCAGATTTTAAATTACGTCCAAAGGGACGTTTTTTAACATTTTGTGTGTTTACCTTTCTATTAAATATATGTTCCTCGCACTTAACCATAAGATCCAGTGCAACAGCAATATCGCAAAATAGTTTTAAAACGAGCATATCTTTAGAATTTCCGATACAGAGATCCGCGCTGGAGATAAAAATGTTTTTCTGCACAACGTTGCCATTGCTCGCTTCGAAATCCTTGAGTTTGTTAATCAAAAATTCCAGTTTAAAAAATAGGAAATCGATCATAAAACAAATTTCAAATTTCAAATTTGGTCTCCACATCTCATATTCGTTGGAGGATTACGTTATCAAAATTCGTGACTCTAGGTACGTGTTTTATCACAATGCTAGAAATAGCAATCAATTATGCAGATTTTTCATTATTAATTTCTTCAAATATAATGCAGGCTAACATTTTGTGGCAACAGTTTGAAAGTGAACCGACATTATGGTCCGACCAATGCAAAACGAAACTAATATCTTCGGGATTCAAATCCCTTTGGACTAAAAACCTTAAAAATAAATAAAGTATGTGCTTAAAAAGAAGAAGATACAGGTAGGTATTGGTACTTTAAAGATTATTTGTCCATTAACATATTAAATACTTTCGTTCCCTATTTATTTTCAGCTCTTTTAGAGGTAAACTACTATCCTTCCCCTCCTTTATATTTAAATCAAATAATAATTTCATAATTAAATTTCCATTGTCTTTATGTGATTATTATTATTTCTTTCTTAAAACTTATAACTTGAAAATTCGAAATAGTTTTAATGCTATTGAATATTGAAACAACTGGCTCACGTAATTTTTAGATTCATAGCAGTACATTGATCAAAAAACAACAGATTAATCAAGAAGATTACAAATTGATCAGAGAGAAGCCTATGAATTTAAATCAATCAGGAAATTAAGAGAAACAAAATTTAACTTTTGATACTGGTAAGTATTACAGATGTTTAGAAAAGAAACACGATTTATTTAAAAATGGGCTAATAAATAGCATGCAAGAAAGTTATGTGATTTTTAATTTCTGACATAAATTACAACACTGCAGCTTAACAAAGATATTTGTAATTTTTCCTTGAATGAAGTAAAGAAAGTATTGTAATCGCGAGAATTTCAGGTGCCATATTTCAACGGAAATATTCATTCCCATATCCATTTAGACAATATTTTACGTGACGTCTGTACGTACGGAGAGAATAAATTACTCTTTTTTCCAAAACGGATTGTAAAATGGTGTTTTTCATGCCGTCTGTTGGCGTGTAAGAATGAATGCATCTCGCATAACTCAAAAACGTTTAGCTGTAGAACATTGAAATTTTGTATATCGGACTGCTATAACATCTACTTATGCACCACTATATTTTACTTTAATGGTCAGTAAAGTATAATAATCGGCAATACCAAAATATATATATATATGTAATTAGAAAGTTTTTAATCCATCTCCAAGCTTGAAATCGATTAACCCTGAATTATAAATTTTTTATTTAGTATTTTAATTAGTATTTAAATTGTATTATGTAGACCTTTATTGCATTAAACACATAAAATTGTAAAGAAAAATCTAAAAAAAAAAAAAAAGAAAAAGGACAAAAAAAATCAAAAGTAAAATTGAATTATTGGAAAAGTAGCCATTGTCATTGATCGGAAATTAATCAACTTATCAAGAGGATAAACCAATCTATCATCAATTAACAACAACTAAATTACGTGAAAGTGGGAGACTAAATTACGTGAAGTAAAGACTTCTATTTAGAATATATATATATATTCCTAATTTGAGCTAAATTTGCACCATTAATTGGAGATATTTTCATTTCATTAATTTGATTACATATATATGTATATACATATATACCTACATTCCCTTTACCTAGCTTAAATAAATTTCGCAATCGTTGGTCGTAGTCATATACTTCCAATTACAGAAGTGCTTTAAATGACGAAAATACTCTGTCTTACCTATGAACAATTTTTAAAAATAAATTGAGTAAATAACGAAATCTAACTTTTATGCAGTATCTCTGTTTCTATACTTATATTTGGGACAGTTTTATATTTGCTATGAAAAATAAAAATAAAGACTCCGTACGAAAATGTCGACTGGGATATTAAATTTCAAAATTTTTTCAATCAATTTTTGATGTCCTTTTCAGCTTACCTTGATAAATAGGCTAATTAAGTTAGACTAATTAGAAGCAATAAGTTTAAATGATTCAGAAATTTGTATAATTTAATAGGCCGTATAAGGAGGTCATGCGGTGTCCGCATCAGGTTTTTTTTTATTAATGTTATCAATGAATAAAAATATAGCTCTTCGTCAATAATCCCGAACGTATAGAACCTCTTGCACTGCAGATGAGTGTTTAAAATTATGCTACCAACACTACTAAACAAATCTTTTTCATTTTTATTTCAATTTTGTAGTATGAGGGAATGATATATGGTGATTTAGAAATATTTTGAGTTTTCCTTAGGCTTAGTGCTAAATAAATGCATTTATAATGTAAGTTGCTTACTGTTCTGTAGCTAACTTTGGTTAGGATGTCCACGGAATTGTGAGCGTTGATACTGTCCTTCACATATGAGCCCATTCCTCTGAATGTAAACATTCCAGCTTTGATACCAAGAGACAAATCACCTTTGACAGATAAAAATTCCTTTACATCCGAAGAAGTTTCAATAGTTTTAAAACTGGAAGTATAGAATGTTTCTTCAATAATCTGAAAAATTTTTAAAAAGTTGAAAATTATGTGCCACTGAAGACATTTTTCACTATCATAAAAACTTTTACCCTTTTTCATGATTTCTGTAATTTTTCTTTCAAATCAGGTTAAAATCTGAATACAATTTACGGAATTAGAATAATTTTGTAAAGAACTGCTATGCAGAAGTTCTTGCATTATTTAGAAATGCAGAATTCATTTATTGAAAAGGCTTCTGTTAAATATCCTCTCTCTCTGTAAGCATTATAAATCTGGCATTTTGTACAAAAACTGCAATTCATGATTTACCTTAAATGGATGAAAAGGATGACGCAGGTACAGGTACACGTAAAAGTATTAGGGATACCAACGATGTACCATGGGTTAACTGGTAATGCCTTCCCATACTGACTCTTAAAAAAAAAAAAAAAAAAAAAAAAAAAAAAAAAAAAACTGACAGCTTTCAGATTTTATATTATTCCCAAAGGGACGTTTGTGTTACCTTTATTTATTAAATATCATGTTCTTCTCACTTAAACCTGTAGAGTCATTAATTATTTTTGAAACAGAAGAGATGAAAACTGAGCAACGCCCTCGCCGGGAATCGAACAAGGACCTCTGGAATATGCGCCCAGCTTGCTGACCACTACACTACAAAGGCATGCTAAGAAGGCGGGAGAAATACCTTATAAACCATAAAATTCGATTCAACAGCAACATCACAAAATATTTAAAAGAACATATCTTTATAAAATTCCCGATACACAGTCTGGCCATTGCTCACTTTGAAATCGTTGAGTTTCTTCATCAAAAACTCATAAATGCTTTGCAAAATATGAAATAGATAATAAAACAAATTCCAAATTTTGGGCTTCTAGCTACCCATGTTTGGACGGAGACATACATTATTCAGAATTGGATGGCTGTAAGTACCGTTGTTTTATCACAATGCGAGAAACATACGCACATTTATACAGATTCCTCATTGTTTAATTTCCTTAAATATAATACAGGGCTCTAATATTTGGTGGCAACAAATTTAAAAAGTGATTTGCCGTTTATAGTGAATCAACGCAAAATGCCAAAATGAAATTAATAGCCATTCTGGGCAAATTGACCCTTTGGGCTAAAAAAGAGAAAAAGTGCAAGCTTTATAAGAATTTACGAAGAAAAATTCAGGAAATGGGCAACTGAAGCTTTCCAAAGGATCTAGAGTTTATATATAATGGTACATCGTGCAATTCCACCGTACATAATAATGATTTAGGACATAAAGAGATTACACAAAATAGTCTGAATACAATTTGAAATTCACAAATTAAATTGAACGTCTGTTTGGGTGTAACAAAAATAACAGATAAACGTAATAAGTATACAGATAAACATAATGAGATGAATATAATAAGTACTGGAATCATAATGATATAATGGAGTGTAATATTAATACTAAAGAGGTAGGTGACCATGGGGTTATTTCAGCTACAAGAGGTTATTACACTTTATAAAGTTCACAAGTGGAGTCATTTTTTTTTCATATTCACAGGATGTAAAAATTCATTTAATTTATGCGGTATCAGAACTTAACAAAGATCCAGGCCATAGGAAAAGAGTCGTTGCACATTTTTTGAAACTTCAGATAATGATGTTTATCTTTATTTAGAAACCTTTGGAATGCCAAGAGATCAGTTTGTGGGGATTTTATGTGAATATTATTGGGTAAAGGGGCATGAAGGGATGATACAGAAAATAACATACATGAATGAAATTATTAACGGCTTGTAAGGTTTATTTTCATTTTATAACAGTTATTTTAATTTAGTTTACTTTTCCTGTCTTTTCTAGCTTTAGCTTACAAATCCCCACCAGAATGAGGTTTTGGAATCTCGTTAAATGCAAATGAAAAGGAGAATGGTATTAAGTCAAGTTCAACTGAGAGAGTTAAGATTCCTGAGTAGTGCGCGTTTGCCTTTGGGCCGCGTCTCTCTAAAGAGGTTATCACACATGGCTACAGTCCCTGCTAGACGGGACTTTTCTGAGAAAAGAGATTCTGGTAGCACTGGATTAAACGGGAGGATTCCTAAGAAAAAGAGCCCCACTCGAAACAAAGTTCTGCCTAGCTACGAAAACGATGTTGAGGCTACGCGGGATTTTTTCAACCTCACCGAAAATGTCTCGGGTCCCGGATAGAGACAACCAATCAGACGAAAGTTCTCCTTCTGAAGAATCACGTGATCCCGATTTGAGCGATAACCGATTACTGTTTGGTGATCAAGTCTTTTAAGTGAGAATGGTCACCTAGCTACGTGCGTTTCCTGGAATTGTGCGGGTTCTGAGAATTGTCCCTTTCGACGTCAAGTCCCGCGTAGCCGAAACATAATGTGATTGGAGCTGTTACTACGCTCGGCCGTATCACGTGCATTTTGATACTTCGCTGGCTTATTTAATATTACGGGCCAACTAGTTTAGAATTGTGTTATTCTTCGGCTAAATCTCTTTATTTACTCATTGGTTAGTCTTCTTTCTTACATTTTGAGTTTAATCCCAAGTGGAGGCTTTGCTGTACGCCCTGAGAAAGGACCCGACTGTTAATCTTACTTTGAACAAATAAAGGGTAATTAACCCTTCTTAAGTTTACGTTTCTGTTCTTGGGTTTAAGCGATTATTCGCTTAGTTGTTCACTAGGTCCCTCGACACTTAAATTGACAGAATAAAAGTACAGGCTAAACAACTATAAACTCTATAGGCTAAACACCAATAAATTGCGGAAGGGATTGTAATACGTATTATATAGTTTACGCGCAACTTAACTTTAGAAAATTGTACAATATTCTCTTTGTAGCATTATGCGCATAGCTTGGTACTGTTATGGTACTCTGTCTATTATTCCAGATAAGATCTTATAAATTTTGTCTTTAGCAAAGGAGTAATAATTAAACAGAATAATAAGGATCTTTATATAAATATAAATATAATGTAATGTAATATATGTAAATATTTTATAAAGAATATAAATAGTATTACATAAATATATATGTAAATATTGTATAAATATGCTGTAAAGATATTTATATAAATAATTTAAATACAAAATGTCTTACTCTTGGGTTTTGCACATCTTCGTTTGGAAATATATCTACGCCCACTGTTTTTCTCTCAATATCATAGGTTCGCCCAAGAATCATTGGTAAAACGTACATCATTCGTATGATCATGATGGCAAAGCTGAAAAAATAAGATAGCATTATTTATATCATTAATCATTTAGTTTGTAAGCATCTTTCAAAAATAACAGGTTACGTTTAACAGCCAACAAGATAATTCTTCAAATACTAAAACAAAATTTGAATTACGCATAAAGGATCTGAAATCTAATTGCAGTCGGTAAATTATTTCATGAATAAAATTGTTAACTCTTTTATTTATTTATTAAATATATAAATACCTGAAATTATTTTGAAAATATTTTAACTCTGAATAAATTTCAGAAATATTTCGATATATGATATATCCAGAAAAATTATACAATAGCTTATTTTGAGACATTCTTTGAATATATATTATTAAAATCTTTTTTTTTTTATTATTGCATTGTTGAAATACTTATTTTACATTATTATATTATTTAAACACTTATTCCGAATGCAATTAAATATTCAAAATAAAATATTACGTAAATTATTCAAAAATATTGCATACATATCAGAATAAATCATCGTGTAACACTTCTGGGAAATGAGTACTAAAAATAAGCCAATATTATATTATAGCTCATAATTACGTAAATTATAATAGTTACATATACGTGTCTTGGTAAACGTATTCTTACTATACAAATGTATCAATGAGTAGAAATAGTCTACAGCATTCAACAGTTTATAATCATATACAAACATACCTCGTTTACAGACTGTCAGATTTCGTAAGTTTGGATCAGCTATAAGGTACAGAAAAAGATATTTATATTTAAATTTTGAATAAATTTAGTTAATGTTTTTATAAAATTACTAACAATATTTTACAGCCACCTTTTCATGGTTCGAAAATGCCAGATCTCTTATCATGTGTTGCCTTATCGAGAATTAAACCTAAATACGAGAAAATACACATCTGCCAGATAAACTAAAATAAAAGACGGTGAGCGAAGTGTGAGGAAAACAAAGTTTGTGAGTATCAAAAAGCGCATTATTTTACCCCAAAATGTCGCACAGATTTCTTTACATGCATTGGATACATTAAATTTATTGTCAAACGGATTTATTACGAAATTTGGGAAATTTTAATTTCTTCTGCCAGATACATGAATTATGATGTATTTATTAAAAATTATTTATCAATGATTTATTTATTACAAATGAAAATGATCAAATTAATAATTCATAGTTAATGAATTAAACTTAATTGATTTTTGTAAGTTTATGATCACGTAATAAATATTTATGACAAAAATTTCCATTAACTGAGAAACTACATAAAAATGAATATTTTACTATTAATAAGTTACGCCTTTGAATTCTATTTAACTAATCATACCTGTATTGATAAGAGCTATTAAACATTTAATTTTCTGTTTTGTTAGATATGTTGTAGGAAAATCCTTGTATGGATTATCATTGGACAGTTATAATATGTAGGATAAAAATGAATCAAATTCTTTACATAGTCCTCCATAATGGCAACTAACCAAAGGTAGTCATTTCTGAAACACTTTACTGTGTTAAATTATCTACTCTCCATTAAAACAAATAAAGATTTTAGTTTTGTTTTATTTTAACTATGGCAAAGCACTCGAATGCTATCTGCCTAAGGAAATAAATGCCTTCCTGGAGAGCTTTCTAAGGGTAAGTGGCTTATATACACATTACACATGGGAGAAAACGACAAAAGCGCTCATGCAGCCAGCCCGTTTTGCTGGAATACGAACCCTGCACCAAACTACAAGTTTTCAGCGAATTAACGCTCTGACGCAGCGGGGTCGGATTAGTTAGGAAATTTAGAGTAACTATATTTCTGAAGTTACATAAAATATAAATTTTATATTTTAAAGAGAATAAGCATCTTTTATGATTCAGTTATAGCATCTCGAGAGGAGAGATATCAATAAAAAGGTAAAAAAAAAAAAAAGATAAGAATCGAAAGAATGATTTGGTAATCAAACGTTAAATCCCAAAAACATTACACGGTGTCTTCCAAACATGTTCTATTTAACTACGTATGACATAAACGTTTAGTTTTTAAAACACGAAATAGTATTTTAATACTAAAGTAGTAAATTTTATAAATCCGGCTTAATCTCATCTAATTGCTAATTAAATCGTTATTAAAATTTATGGTTTTACTTAAAATTATTAGCTAGTGTCGTATTAAAAACTAATGCGCTGAATCAATTTATTACATAAAGAATTGTAATAATAACTGCTAATTTGATGCGATCTGGTTTGATTTGGTTTATTGAGATTATGGCAAAGCACACTAGGGCTATCTGCCTACGGGGAGGGATGCCTTCGTGGAGGACTTTCTAAGGGAAACTGGGTCCTATACACGTTACACACGGGGAAAAAAACGAAAAAAACCTATGCAGCCAGCCCGTTCGCGGTATTCAAACCTCGGATTAAACTACCAGTGTTCAGCCACTTTACCGCTCGGCCGCTGGTGGTCCTTCTAATTTGATGCGAATGCAAGTATGAGTTCCAAATACTTTTTTAATACACCTCTAGTTATATTTCTCTTCAAGTTTTCAATTTTAAATACTCCGATAAATCCAATAATATTTCTTCGGATAACTGAACTTTTAATTTAATTATTATAAAAATTAAAAGTGGTAATAAAAATGGAATATTAAACAAAATGGCATACAAACGTAATTTTATTTTTTTATTTATTTTTTTTTTTTTCAAATATCTTTTAACAAGCTATAAGACAGTTTAATCCTTACTGGATATGTTTAGAAAATTGCTGAGAGATGAAATATTGTAATGATTTTATATTTGGTTTTTTTAATATTTCTTTTAGAAACCACAAATATTTTAATCACTGTTTGCTTTGTTTCAGAAAACGCATATCTTGCAGGTTTTTATAAATAAAAATTACGATATGTTTCACTATAAAAATATAAGCGTTTTTTCTAAAATAATTACTGAGGCGTATTTGCATACAGCCATAGTTTCATATTAAATGTTTTGAAGCACATTTCTGTAACCTATGACTTTTGTACGCCTTTTTAATGTAATTCCAGAAAACAATGCATTTAAATGTTTTCTCATTTACTGTTTTCAGTCCTGAGTGTGAATGTTTCCATCTGTTAATTCTTTTGCACTGAAAAGAATTTCCTTCTTGATTAGATATTTTTTAGCAAAAGACAATAGCTAATGCACGATGTTGCTGTCAGTGATAAGCAACGTGTAATTCCGGGATATTTTGTTATCCATTTTCAAAAGCATTTCATTTGACAGTAGTTTGAAAACTGTATTTTGTTAAAAGTATTGTAATAAATTACTATAATGCTGTTTGATATACCGGCCGCAGTTATGTATGTTATTCGAGTGTTGCCTTAAACCACATATAAATATTGTGATTCTGGAGTAACTTATGTAGCAGAAAAGCGGAGATTATTCCTATGAATAACCAGATAACATTGAAAACCGTGTAATATTCCACTACCAAAAAATTTAGCTTGTAGGATTATTAGGTTACTCGAAGCAGGAAACATAAAAAATCACAAATATCTTCCCTGGAATTCGAACATCAGATTTCCGATAGCCAACCGGCTCACCAGCGGCCGAGCGGTAAAGTCGCTGAACACTGGTAGTTCGGTCCGAGGTTCGAATCCCGCGAACGGGCTGGCTGCATAGGCGTTTTCGTGGTTTTCCCCATGTGTAACGTGTATACGAGCCAGTTTCCCTTAGAAAGTCCTCCACGAAGGCATCCCTCCTCTTAGGCAGATAGCCCTCGAGGCTTTGCCATATTCACACACACACCGATAGCCAACCAGATGTACTACTACTTATACCCCAAATGCAAGCAGTAAAAAAAAAAAAAAAGAAAGAAAAATTCTTTGAAAGTTGCACAAGAAAATATAAAATCAAAAAAACTGAACAAAAAAAAAAAAAAAAAATCTGAAATGTTTCAGATTTTAAATTACGTCCAAAGGGGCGTTTTTTAACATTTTGTGTGTTACCTTCTTTATTAAATATCATGTTCCTCGCACTTAAACTATAAGATCCAGTGCAACAGCAATATCGCAAAATAGTTTTAAAACGAGCATATCTTTAGAATTTCCGATACAGAGACTCACGCGCTGGAGATAAAAAATGTTTTTTCTGCACAACGTTGCCATTGCTCGCTTTGAAATCCTTGAGTTTGTTAATCAAAAATTCGTCAAAGTTTTAAAAAATAGGAAATCGATCCTAAAACAAATTTCAAATTTCAAATTTGGTTTTCCACATGCTCATATTCGTTGGAGGATTACGTTATTCAAAATTCGATGACTCTATGTACCGTTGTTTTATCACAATACGAGAAATATACATACATTTATGCAGATTTTTCATTATTTAATTTCTTCAAATATAATGCAGGACTCTAACATTTTGTGGCAACAGTTTGAAAAGTGAACCGACATTTATGAGTCCGACGCAAAATGCCAAAACGAAACTAATAGTCCTTCGGGATTCAAATCCCTTTGGACTAATAACAGCAGAAAATTTCAGAAATGCTATGAAAATTCTAACTAAGTGCATGCATTAAATAAATAAATTATATGTATTAAATAAATAAAGTATATATAAGAACGACATTTTTGTATGTACAAGAAACACATTGTTTATGCATCGAGTACGTAAGGTATTTTCTCCCTCTTTTCTCATGCCTTCTCGGTATAATCGGAAAGATATTCAAGAAATCCAAGGTTCCAGCCCGGCGAGGGCATTGCATATTTTTCCCACCTCCTACATCCTTCCCCCCAAAAAAAAAACTATTGACTTTTCAAGTAAACAAATAATAATAAATAATATGTGCAATAGACACGTTTGCTGTAATTTACTTAAATATATCTTCGTATGCATAGTCACATGCATGCTTTTCTGGAGCACTCTATTCCCCACACACATACAATAGGTATACCAGGTTGTTCAATAAGTTCTCGGAAAGGAAATGAAGAAACCAATTTTTATTTGTAAAAATGACTTTATTTTTCAACGTAGTTTCCCTCAACTTCAATGCACTTATTCCAACGGTCTTCTAATTTATGGATCCCTTGACTGTAGGGGTTTTTCGGCAGCTCTGTAAAATATCCCTCCACGACAGCTATTACCTCTTCGTTTGAAGAAAATCGTTTTCTACGGAGATATTGTTTGAGGTGTGGGAAGAGCCAGAAGTCGGAGGGAGCTAAATCTGGCGAATAGGCTGGATGTTGCAACAATTCGTACTTCAATTCAGTTACTTAGCAATGGTTTTTTGAGCTGTGTGCGCAGGTGCGTTATCTTGGTGGAAAAAGGATTTTCTTCTTCTGTAATTCCGGGTCTTCTTGTCACGAATTTTTTCGTCTAATTTGATTCAAAAGGTTACAATAATAATCCAGAATTAATTGTTTTGCCAGTTTCTATAAACAATGAAGGTAATCTATAAACAAAATTCCTTTCGCATCCACAAGAAACTGATGCTAACACCTTCTTGGCTGATTTTTGCACACGAACTCGCTTCGGCGCCCGAAGAGCCGGGTTCACACCACTCCATTAGCCTCCTGTTTTGATTCAGGATCATGATGGTAGACCACAAGTCTCATCCATTGTGATAAATCGACAGATAAAGTCACTTTTATTCTTGCTTAAAATGCTCCAAAATTTGCTGGTAAAGTCGCATCCGAATGTGTTTTTGCTCCATCGTTAGAGAATGCGGCACCCATTTTGCACAGAGATTTTTGAAACCCAAATTAGCACTCAAAATATTGCTCATTGTGCCCAATGAAATGCCTAAAGCCTATGTTAAATCTCTTTCAGTCAATCGACGATATTCCAATAAAATATCTTGTATTTTTCCGATGATTTCCGGTG